CAATCCCGAGCTGCTAGTGATCAGCCATCTTGGATCTCAAGTTCAAGTTGAATAAATATCTTTAATATAACAGCTCCTAGGTGCTTACCAGAACCTCTTATCAATTAAGGATAATTGAGATTAATAAATAGGTAACATATTCTGTGAGATTGTAATGTCTATTATTTTTCCTTTCTATATTTCTTCCTTTTAAAATCTTATATTTTCACCTTAAATAATTTCTCAGGATATTGGTATAGCTTCATAATATAGCCTGATACATGTAATACATCAAGACACAATAATTTTGAATACCAGGAAGGTTTTAATTAAAAAGAAAAGCAATTTAAGAATCGAGATATTACTAGCTATTTCCTCATTTAATAGAAAGTGAAATCCAATGAAAAGAAATAATACATACTCTAAGTATTTTCTCCAGATCATGAAATTACGTACAATTGTTTTGGTATAGTACTATTCTACACAGTCAGCTAAGTAAATACTGCCCCCTAGCAATATCAAGCAAAAGTAGTGATATTTAGCTTTTAATGAGATCCTTCCATGTGGTCTGGTAATGTCAAATTTAGAACCGTCAGCAGGAAAAACAAAGGCAGTGGGATAATTTTCTTGATTCTGACAAGCAGAAAATTATGTTTTACTACTACAAAGGTAAGTCCCTCTCTACTGATTTTCTTAATCCACCTCCTTTACAAGCATACTATGTTATATATCTTGTCAGAAGTATTTTCATATTTAAATTATTATACGCCTTCTCTGTAATATATATTGACCATATGTTTAATGCTTTGCCATGATCTTCTACATGTATATTAGGGAAACATATATACAGACCCTAAAGAAAAGGATGAGTAAAGATCTGTACTTTGTGACCTAGTAAAGTTATCTCCTTGAACCTTTAGGATCACTGTGAAGATTAGTTAATAAATGTAGTACACCTGGCAGAGGATGTGGCATTTAGTAGACTTACATATAGGAGTTACAATGATCACTCTTATAACAATCCAGAAACTTCGGTAATAAAACAAGTATTTTAACAAGCCAAAGTTTTGGTAAACTCAGTAAGTCATATAACAAAAGATTCACATTTCTTTTTTTTTTTTTTAATTAGGAGAGGTATGAGTGGAAAGTAAAAAGAATAGACTCCTAGGCACTAAAAATATTTCATTTATCAATAAGAATTATTTCATCATTACCAATTAACTATTCTCAACTATGCTTATAAATACTAATAAAAAAAGAAGAATGATGGAGTTATCAACAAGAATAGTACAGTATTAAAATGAATCATCACTATTATGCCATCCTTCATTTTTCTTTTTGTGCCAGCCAAAGTATTGCATCATCTTTCAAGAAGATATGAAAGATGTACAGAGACATCATCATTACAGGTTTTTTGTTGTTGTTTTACGTTTTAATTGAACATAGCTAAGGACTGAGAACTTTCTGTTTTCCACCTTTATTATTAAAAAGAAAAGAGGAAAATGTTTCATAAAATACACACACAAAAAAAATTAGCCAGGCATGGTGGCACACACCTGTAATTCCAGCTACTCAGGAGGCTGAGGCAGGAGAATCACTTGAACCCAGGAGGCAGAGGTTATAGTGAGCTGAGATCACTGCACTTCCTCCTGCCTGGGTGATGGAGTGAGACTCTGTCTCAAAAAAAAAAAAAAAAAAAAAAAAATGAGCACTGGTCTGAGAAGTTCAAGAAACTACCACTGCCTGAGAAACCATGCACATGTCTGTGCGAGGTAACATTTTCTTTATGTCCTTAAACAAGTAAAGAGATTATAAAAATATAAAACAATACCACGATTCCATTTTGGGGGGAAATGTAACTATTTCTCAGAAAAAAAATATGTTATTTTAGTTAACATGCAATGAGTTTGTTACTGTTATTTTTTAATGAATTAATACATAAATATATTTTAAATATCCATAAATATCGATAGATATAACCCATGCAAACAAAAACCCTTTGAGGTCCTCAATAATTTTTCAGAATATAAAGCGGTTCTGAAAGCAAAATATTTGAGAACTGCTGCATTACACCATACTTCCTTTCACCTGTTTCTGGACTGCATAAAGATACACAGATTAGAAACAGATGTGGTGGGTAATGCAAACGAACATTTACTAAATTGGAAAACTTGCTAGATATTTAACTTGTGTGTATAGTTTTGTAGATAGAAAGTACCAAAATATAATTTTATCATACCTGATACTATTAATAGCCACTTTGATTTCTAAGATCTGGGCACTTTCTGAAAAGTAATTAAGCTTCACTACGAGAGAGACTTTAATAAGCTATTTGTATTCAAGGGCCTTAAGGGATCCAATGTCAGCAGAATGGAGTTTGTACTAATGTTGGGGACACCACAGCAGCTACCAGACAAGAGGACACATCCCAGGACTGTTCAGAGAGACTACAACTGGTTAGTGGGACTCTAAGTATGAGATACTCTAAATAGATGGATATTCCTAGCTTTTCCTGTAATTATACATATCTTGATAAAATCTGAAAAGCTCATTGTCCGTATTCTCTTTAGACTAAGATCTAAACTTTCTTTATGTAACAACATAATGAAGGTCGGGAACAAACAAAGGAACAAACACATAAATATTTCAGAGTGGTCTTTTCATATTTTCTATTACTTTAAACTCGGCTGAATATAAAATTTGAAAATGATTGTGATAAGCTTTTAAGTAGTATAAGCATCCTTTCAGATTGCAGTTAAATGACAATGGCTTTACCAGCATATCAAGGAATTCTTTAGCTTTATCTTTAGCTAGGTTGAAAAGGCACACACAGTACTGATACACTCCTTATCATTTTCTCTTAATGGTTACCTGACAACTCTTCATAATTTGCAAGCTGAATACTATTCACAGAATGTCAGGAATAGAATTCCCTTAAGAATGAATCATACTTTCCTGTTCTCATTTTAAATGAAGTCTAGTATATTTTTAAAAGCAGAAATATATACCAAGACAAAAATGATAAATATCAGTCTGGCCCCAATTTTACCAAATCACACTATTCACTCTACTTATATGTAAATCACATAACTACCTTGACTTGTATAATCTAAGCATCACATCAGTGTACAATATTTCTAACTATTCAAGCTTTAGCAGTGCTTAGTATTCAGAGCTCTGTGACCCCGAGCAAATGGAAAAAACCCAGAAATCACAATCTCTACTACAATGGAAGCCTGAATTTCAATGATGAAAGATTAATGAGGGCTTATTTTGATAGGTTTAGTTCTTGAGTTGGAAACTCAGTTTGGTAAATCATTATCAAAGTACCCACTCTTCTCCTTGATGAATCTAGCCTGTACTGTTGTTAGAAGCATAGAACATTACCTCAATAATTATTTTAAAGGTAGAACATTAAAGACGATCACTCAGAATTTTTTTAAAATGCTATATACATAAACTAATAAAATGCAACTAAAAATGTTAATAGTTAGAAACACGTTTTTAAAAGTCCTCCATTTCATCATGCTCCTCCCACAGGTACTCACTGTCAACAATCTCTACATTAAAACATTAAATCTGTTCACAAAATTGAATTTAAAAATGGCCTCATGATTTTTATATTATCCACAGACTTGAGAAACAGCTCAATTTAAAAAAAAAAGATTTCAAAAAACAATTTTTGTATTAAAATTTTAGCTTTGTAAATAATTTTAATTTGCCCACTCTCTGTGACAAGAAAAGAGTCGTAGATGGGACTCTTCTTCAGGTTAAGATATGTTTCCCCTGTTTCTTTTTGTTTGCTCTAAAATTCTTAACAATTGACAGAACCATGATAGAGGGCATTAAGAAGTATATGTAAATTAATTATTCAGAAATGAGTGTAGAGGGATTTTTTTTTTGTAACAATGATTAGAGGATTGCTACTGGCAATCAGTGGCTGGGGGTCAGGAATGCTCAGCATTTGCCATGTGCTGGATATTTCTAACCCACAAAGAATTACTTCCTATCCCATATGACTTAACAATTGTCTCTGAAGACTATTCACACTATTATTGATAGCAGGAGGAGGCAGAAAAATCCCTAGGTAGATGGGGTGAGTCCCTGGTAAAATCCAACCTTTAAACCAAAGACAGTTTAAAGTCTAAAAAACAAGATACAGGTCTCAGATAAATCCACAGACTGGATTAAGAACCTTTCCTTCTGTTTGGCATGCTTTCCTCTGATTGATCCCTACTACTCACCTATTTACATATACCTACCCTTCTCTAATTAGTTTTTCACACTGTTGTGCCTATCTTTGAGTGGTGCCTTTTTTTTTTTTTTTTTTTTTTTTTTTTTTTTTTTTTCTTTTTTTGCATACTCACAAACCAATTAGCACATACACTCCCATTCTGGGCCCATAAAAGCCCCAGCTCCAGCCACATTTTGGGATTACTCACTTTTAGGTGGCAGGAAGACTACACAACTTCAGGTAAGGGGGCTGCCCAACTCAGGCTCCTCTCTCTGCTGAGAGCTGTTCTATCACTCTGTAAAACTCTTTGACTCACTCACTCACTGGCTGTCAGCATAACCTCATTCTTGGACATGGGAAAAGAACTTGGGACCCGCTGAATGGTGAGTGCAAACAAAGCTGTTACCCTGTAGCACTCCCTTCCCACTTGCCGAGCAATGGGAGAAGGAACTGCTGGGCACCACACAACCAATTCATTGGGCTGTGGATGTGAGACTGAAAGAATTGTTAGCATGCTGTAACACCCCCTTTGGTGTTTCAGGGTCACAAGTCCATCCCTGTTCAAGTGCCACAGCATTCCCATCGTCAGACACTGGTTCCCAAGGTGGAAGCAGGTCATTGCATGCCTGGCTCAGCTGTGGGGCAAGTGCCAGATCTGGGCCAGAGCTCAAGCCAAGCAGAGCCTGGCTGGCTGGGTGGGCAGGGTACCTCCCATGGCAAGACCAGGGCCAAGCAAGGCCTGTGCATGGGCATTGCTGGCCACAAAGGTCTCTGGCTGGTGAAGTGGCACTGAAAAAATCCTGTGACACTATATAAATCAGTATTACTTTCGTAGTAATACTGCTATTGCAGAATTTTTTATAAGAACCAATAATGCTCCAGTAATTTTACAAGTAGATCATAATGGGGAAACATAAATAAATACATTATATAATAATTATTGAATTATTGAATAATTCACTCATCCTGCATAGCAGCACACTTAACACCAATGTACTCTCCACTCAGATTTAACAAGTATTAACATTTTGCCACATTTGCTCTAAAATTTTTTAAAACAAAATAAAATATGACCAATACAATAGAAGCCTCTTTTGTACCACTCCTGAATTTCAATCCTTTTAAAATTTATGTTTTATACTTTCTGTAACCTTAATAAGAATTATTTCCTAGATTACAAATATAAATGTAACACTCCAAATTCAGGTCTTCTGGTAAATCTATAATTTATTTTTATGTGCTGTATGAAGTTTGGCTTTCATTTACACTGTCCTCCACATAGTTATTCAATCAGGACCATTAATAATATTTTATTTTCTAATTAATTGTACAGTCATTTCTGTCATATACCACCAAATTCTATACATGGACAGGTCTGTTTTATGTATTCTCTTATATTTGATTAGCTTGTATTAATATCACTAATGTTGTTTTGGTTAATAATTGCCTTTTTAAAAATCTCCTTTGGCCAGTATCTTTAAGTTTTCATATTTATCTCATAAGTACTATAAAGATGGATTTTCAAAAATATCTGAAAATTTCCTTTAATAAGCCATTTAATTAGCTTACATTCTTTCTATGTTCTTTCTGTTTTTATAGGATTAAATGTCTTTTCTTTGTTCTATCCTGCACCCTCCATTGGTTTGGTATAGAAGTTATATATTCTGTTCTTTTCAGGATTATCATTAAATTAATTTTTTTTTGAGACGGAGTCTTGCTGTGTCGTCAGGCTGGAGTGCAGTGGCATGATCTCGGCTCACTGCAACCTCTGCCTCCAGGGTTTAAGTGATTCTCCTGCCTCAGTCTACCAAATAGATGGGACTTCAGGTGCACACAGCCATACCCAGCTAATTTTTTTATTTTTAGTAGAGGCGGGGTTTCACTATATTGGTCAGGATCGTCTTTATCTCTTGACCTTGTGATCCGCCAGCCTCCTCTCAAAGTGCTGAGATTACAGGTGTGAGCCACCACACCCAGCCATTAAGTTAAATTTTTAACAAGCATTATTGAACTTCTGAATTTTTTGTGAGGAGAGACATTTACTGTCCTTTGCTGTGAACTACCTTTTCAAATATGTTCGTAAAAAAACAGTCTTGTTAAACAGAAATAGAATCTCACTTTGGAACAAAGGACAGATTTACTAATAGCCTTAGAAGAAAAAGGCTCTCTCTCGAACAAAGGGAAGGCATATCCATTAAAAAATATATATATAATTCTCTAAGCTGATAGTTTCTCTCTTGTAATCCACTACATACGCAAGCATCATCTAGGTCCTTGATGTTGTCTCCATAGGATTTGAGAGCAAGAGAAATCAACACAAATATGCTAATGTTCATACTGGTTGCTGTCCTGTCAGTGATAAAGTCCTTTGTCTCTGGCCCAGGAATCTTATGTTTTCTTCCAGTACTCAGAAAACAGTAACAGGCTAACTTATTAGCTTTCAAGGAGGGTAAAATCAAATCTCAGATCTGAAAGGTTCCCTGACTTAATGTCTAAATAAAATGAGCATTTTATTTAAATAATGCTAAATCATTAGACACATTTTAACTGATTGCCACCTACTTTTACCTTTCATGTTATTATTTAGAATTTTATTTTCACATTATTAGTCCTTCCCAAATCAGATTTATATATAACAGTCACTGTTTAAACAGATTTATCAACTTGTAGTATTTGATGAGTGATAATATTTAAAGAAGATGGAACAGTGCTTGGTACACAGTAAACATTTAATATGTATTCATATTAATTACGTTTTAACAATACTTTTAGCTCAACATTGTTTCTTACATCATACTCATTCAGAATTCAATTTTCTGATAAACAAAAGTTATTTTTCCTTGCGTGTTTCCTTTCTTAATATTATCTGTGTTCAGGAATATGTCCAGGGATTTTTATCAGATTGTCTTTATAATTCTACACATTATTTTTTAAAGAGATAAAGTGTTGCTATGTTGCTCTGGTCTCAAACTCTTAGCCTCAAGTGATCCTGCTGCCTCAGCCTTCTAAGCACGAGCCACCATACCGTTTCCACACATATTTGTCTACATAAATGTTTTCTGTTTTTGGTTCATTGCTGAGCACAATTTAATTAGGTGCCTTCAAGGAAACTTTTTGAAATCAATTATCCTTTCTTTTAGTCTATGTTTTAGATATTTAGTATCCATTTTTACTCAACAATCTAACACCATTACCAACTTGGCAATTAGCTCCTTGATAGTTTCTTCAACTCTAGCCCTAAGACTGGGTCTAGTATTATTATATTACACCTCATATTTATAATGAAAATGTACTCAGCCTTTTATTTTTATTTTTTAATTTTAAAAATCAGTTTTTATTGATTTTTAAAAATCCTTTAAGTATTTTTCAAATTTAGGTTCATTAAATCAATGTATTAAATGAAGACATTTTCAAGAATAGCACAAAGCATCACATGTAGGAAGCATAAAACACTGTTTTATAACACTTATTTCAGTTATATACACGCACTACACATCACCACTCAAATTTTGTGTGCCCAGGTCTCAATATAAAATGTATTTCTTCCTATGCATTGTAAGAATAAAGTTTTTAAGAAACTGCTTTATAGTACTCTACTAAACATGATCATATTGTGCACCTGGGTCTCAATATAAAATGTATTTCTTCCCATGCATTGTAAGAATAAAGTTTTTAAAAAACTGCTTTATATATAGTACTCTATTAAACATGATCATATAACATAGTTTTAAAATTTTTTCACATCACAAAACTAACACGTTAAATGAAAACAATTAAAAATTGCACTTAAGCCACCTTAGTACCCATAACTCCTGCAACCATATATAGCCATAATTAATATTCTAGAGTATAGCCTTTCAACTTTTCCTATGTATATATGCATATACACTAAATTCTATTTTATGAAAATAAGATAATACCATAATATTGTTTTATAAATTGCATTTCCTACTTTAACAATATGTACCATAAACATTTTGTTTTCTTATCAATAATTTTTGATAAAGCATCCTCCTAAAAAATTATAATTGCTTGAGGGCAGGTGCCTTCAATTTAACTTTTGAATAAGTAATACACTCACACTGTTAAAAAAAATTTATAATGTCAAATATAACAAGTAAATAATTTCCCTTACACCTACACTACCAACTGCAACCCCATCAACAAGCAGGTAACTTTTGTTATTAATTTCTTTTCTTCTCCACCGTTATTTATTATTTTTAATTGATAAATAATAATTGTATATATTTGTTGGATACAATGTGATGTTCTGATACATGTTTATTGAACAATCTTTAAAAACACTTGATTCTATGTGACAAACAACAAATTAGTAACAGGCTAAGTCATTGTATGGCCAACCTTTGATTTTCAATTCTGACTTTTAGCTTGATGTGGACTACAGAGGAAAGAAAAACCAAAATCTATCTAAGGTTCTAAGGTAACATTAAGTAAAACACAGAAGAAGTTACTTTCACTTAAGCATACATCTTGTATATCTTAAAAATTAGGCTTGAATATCATAAAATTGAAGTGAAAAGCCTTCAGAGCATAGTTTAATACAACACTATCACTAATGAGTTTCTCAAAACAATTTGATAGTATCAACTATGTTAAGAAAAATGACATTTTCTTTATTTAAAGTGGGAGTTTGGAAAGTAGCCACAGACTTTCTAACAGAAGGCTATAATTGGTAGCAGTAACTTGTTCAGATACGGCTTCTATGAAAACAAAAATTTTAAAAATACACTTTTGTGCTACTAATTCCGCTTTATTATTATTTTTTTAATCACACGTTCTAATAATGCTCTAAGTACTTACATCTGGAATGAAGCCAATGTCATTGAGATGATTACTCAGCTCTGGATCATGAAATGCAATCATCTGAGAGAAGACAGTCAGATACTCTGAAATAACAAAGTTAGAGACAATCATCATTTTTACACAGTACTCCAAGGACATAATATTCAAATATAGTTTTGTTTATACATTGAATGATATTTAATTTCTCCATAAGAATACTTTAATAGGTAATTTTGTTTTGTTAATACTTTAATTACTTGCTGCTAATTATTAAACAAGTATACCAAAAAACTGTCATAATCTATTTTCTACCTTCAAAGTTATCGGTTCATTTCTTGAGTCACAAATTGTACCCATGATAAATCATGTTTTCCTGTTAAACTCTACAAGTATATTTTCTCTAGTAATATTAAATCTGCTTTGTATTTGTTGAATGTTCATAAAGTGTACAGATCCTTAAATAAGGGAGAACATTTATAAGCTGTCAAAATGGAATAATTATGTTTCAAATTTGTTTATATATACAGATAAAATATATGCATCTGTTCCAGTTCTAATTTATTTCCATCTAAGGCTTAACAATTGGCATATTTAGGAATAAGAATTAATGCCATATTTAATCAGAAAGTAGGGATACAGCAGGCAATTAAAAATATCTTTTGTTGATTCTAATCCTATTACAATTCATAGAGTTCAGTTGAAATATGAGGAATATGTTCTCTTCACTTTTTTTCATTCTTTCAAAAATTAACTGTTCTTGCCAGTTTACTTACCATGTGCTAATCTAAACAAGATGGTGCTAACAATCTACTCAAGGGCAAATTACTATTACATTTTTACTAATTAAAAAACCAAGATTAATACACATTTCAATCAGCTCAACTTTTTTTTTTTAAATATAGACTGGGTTTTGCTATACTGTCTAGGCTGGTCTCCAACTCCTGGGCTCAAGCAATCCTCTCGTCTTCACCACCCAAAGCACTGAGATTACAGATGACAACCTCATTTTTAAAAAAATTGAAATGACAGTAACATCATAAAATTTTTCCTTGAATAATCACAACTTTCTCCTACAGTAAAGTAACATCTATTTTTAAAACCAATTATTTGGTGAAAATATTCTTCAAAAAATAATATCTGCCTTGCTTTTTCAGTTTAACTTTTAATATTTCAAGAGACAGTACTAAATTCTTGATAGTCCATCAGTACAAGTAGTCTTCCCTTATTTTTCTCAAATAAAACTTTGCCTCTAATGATCATATGAATTTTATAGATAATATGGTTTGGCTGTGTCCCCACCCAAATCTCAACTTGAATTGTATCTCCCAGAATTCCCACATGTTGTGGGAGGGATGGGGTGTGGGGTAATTTGAATCATGGGGGCCACTCTTTCAGGTGCTATTCTCATGATAGTGAGTAAGTCTCATGAGATCTGATGGGTGCTTCAGGGGTTCTGCTTTGCTTCCTCATTTTCTCTTGCTGCTGCCATATAAGAAGTATCTTTCACCTCCTGCCATGATTCTGGGGCCTCTCCAGCCATGTAGAACAGTAAGTCCAATTAAACTTCTTTTTCTTCCCAGTATTAGGTATGTCTTTATCAGCAGCATGAAAATGGACTAATATAATAGGTATTTGCCTATAAGCAAATATTTTATATGTCACATATCCTATACAGAAGAGCTTCAGGGCAAAAAGAAAAAAAGATGAGGCGCTATATTCCATGACAAAGCCGACTTCCTCATTTAATGTGAACTTTTACCCATGCAGGATTAAAAAAAAATACTCAAGTAATACTTTTTCTTGACCTGACTTTCATTCTATTGCAATAGAACACATTCTATCTGTCCATTGTCTCACCTTTTTCCTCTCTGAACAAAAAAGGTTCAATTTACATCAGCTTCAAGAGTTACAGACCAAAGTGAACACCCAAAATATATCTGAAGAGCCCAGGAAATTTCTGGGTTTAACTTTTCTTTAGCTTTTTAATTCTTCCTTCCAATTAGTGATGGTGTGTTTACAGTCCAATTTTCTCAGAAACCAGAGAAATGTAATATCAATAATCATAAGTGTTCAACTGTATATCAATGAAAGCATATAGTTATTAACTTCTAAAAAGCATGCTTCATTTTAAAACAGAAATTCACACCCCAGGCAATTTTCTACAGCTATGCTCCAGTTTATTAAATATCATTCTTATTTGAGCCTGATAAAAATAATTACTATGTAAAATTACATGGCTAATTAAGGACCCATTGAAGAAATCTAATCCATCATGAAAATATGGTCCTGCCACCATGCACAGCTAATTTTTGTATTTTTAGCAGAAACGAGTTTTTGCCATGTTGGCCAGGCTGGTCTCAAACTCCTGACCTTAAGTGATCCACCCACCTCGGCTCCCAAAGTGCTGGGATTACAGGTGTGAGCTACCGCACCCAGCCAACACTGATGATTGGATTTATATGTTATAACTGCATACACATATATACACACACACAAAGAAATAAAATATATAAATTTATTTTATGTATTATTAAAAATTATACATTATATGTTCTTTTATATATGCAAATATAATTTGTAAAACTAATATAAGTTTTGGTTGCTCAGGACATGCTTTCAAATGAGATAACAGTACGGCCTGTTATATTTAGAAAGACTTTTTTCTCTAAAGAGAGCATCATGAGATAACTGATGAAATCTGCTCAATGTAGTATTCCAAGTTACTTCAAAAAAGCATTCAAAAGTCCCCTAATATAAATTTTTAAAATATCAAAATAAATGCATGCCTTTTGATTTGTAAATCAAAATGAAAGAATTTTAGAATAGCTACAAAAACAAAGAAACAAACAAAACCCAGACCAATGGTCAAAATAAAACAAAGGATTCCATGGAATCATGGAATCTTGACTCTTTTTAAGGAGATATTAAAATGTCGTTAAAACTCTGTAATTGACATGGACACAAAGAAGACTCCAGAACCATTTGAGGGAGGAAGGTGAGAGGAATGAGACAATAGAAAACCTACCTGTCAGCTACTATGCTTATTACCTGGGTGATAAAATAATCTGCACACCAAACCTCCATGATATGCAGTTTACATATATAACAAACCTGTGTATGTACCCTGAACCTAAGTTAAAAAAAACACTCTCTAATTGTGATTTATACTATATAATGAAGATATGAATCTAGAGTCTTAACTTCAAAAATAGTATTCGCTAACCTACGTGTGACCTATAAAAAAGAGACATGCTTTTCTTTAAAAAAAAAAATAAAGTTCTTATAAAATTTCCCATTTAAGCTTCAAGGGAAGTTTATTATATTTCTGTACAAAATCTATCTAATATAAATTTTCTACATTTTATATTTGTAAAACCTTATACCTTTTAATTTTTGCAATGAAATATAAAATGAAAATAAATTGTCGTCTTCCCTAATTGCTCTGCATTAAAAATTGTTGTTACTCTTCTTTAAAACAGCTTAATTATATACATTAACATGACAATCCCCAATAAATTTATTATAAGAATTTTATATAACACCATATTTTTGTGCAGCTGTTTATAAATAAACCATCTGTTTTCCCCCAAAAATTCAAAAAATATATGCAGAAACAAAATTTCAGAAATTTTGGATATGCTAATATGCATATATGGATATCCTTATTTTTTCCCTTCTGGAAAGTTTTTCAGTTTTCACTCTTTTAGCTGGGATAAGAAAATGAAAGGTGATGGGTGAGATTTAAAGCAAATATTTCCCTCAGCTCACATATCAGAAACAGTGTCCTCAATTCTGTAACTGTCTGTTGTCTTCCAGCAGACTACTAGTCTATCCTGAAGATGACAAATATAGATAGGTTGGGAGTCACATATCTGCTGTCAACTGAGAATGTGCCCAAACGAAACCATTTGGTGACATGTTGACTCACTGCACTCAAAAGAAGCGTTATTTTAATGCAAACGAACCTAAATTATTCCCATTACAAAGTTTTCTACTGTAAAATCTGGCCTATCTAGTAAAGGCACAAAAACAAGCACCAGATTTTATAACTAAGTGAGAAAAAGGGATTCAAAAGAAGAGAAAGGAAAGAGAAAAGTAATCTTTAGGGCTACATTTATGAACCACTTTATTTCCTTCTCACATATCTTGCTCTAGTTAAAAGAACAACCTACAAACAAGCCCACTTAATAGTTACCATAATATGTCTAGTAATGGTAGAACATTTACTGTTTCAGGAAAAATCTCCTTGGTCACATGATATAGGATATTCTCAAAAATCACAATACTGTACACTACAATCTCCAAATATATCATTAAAGTCATTATGGCAAAGATGTACACTAAGTTGCACATATATTAAAAATAATGGAAAAAACACAACTGCTTTTGCACCAACCTAACACAATGCACTACCTTACTAAATAAACTTTAGAGTGAAATTGCATATTCTCTCTCTCTCGTTGTTACTGTTTGGTGAGAAAGAAGATTTTTTTTTTTCCTTACCTCTGACAACTGGACAACTGGACTTTAGACTTTGTATGTCTCTCTTCCTCTTTCTCCTTCCAAGAATTACTGAATATATATGTATAGTATAAACTTATCTCCTAGTTTGCCTGCGAGAATCCCAGTTGTCACCTGTAGACCCAGCATCTGGTACACTGCTCCTTTTAACTCTCAGAAACATCCCAATTTAGTTATATAGTCACTCTAGCTATCTGTGGTACTATATTAAATGTTAGGAACATCACAGTGAAAAAGATACCATTCTCTCCCCTCAAAGGTTTTAGAAAGACATACAGGTAAACAGAAAATTGGGGAAATTTTCACTTAATTTTATTTCCCAGATTGACATGGTAACAACATCTTCCAAGTGTGAATATACCTTGGTTTTATCAAACACTACAAGAGTATGTTTACATGCTAAATTTTCATTGATTAAATGTAGGCTGCCTTGTTCCTCACTAGGCTGAAGCTGCCTTTTCTCAATAGCCTAAAGCATACCTGTACTGCAAGTTATAAACTTGTTTTCCAGTACAGCTGAAATGCTAATCAGTAGACTTCAAATTCCTCCATCTTTTTCCATACAATTGGCATTCTAAGATTC